CTTTGCCCTAAAAAACCGTCATTAAAAACTATGATTTTGCATTGCTATGTACTAAATAAAGACTTCATCTTTCTAAAGCCCTAATTTTCAGCAAATAATCTCCTCACGTCGTTACGATATCGCCTTTGGAAAAACCATAAAACATGTAGTTTTCGACGCGAAACGCATATGCCCTCTTAAACATCATAGTGTCACTAAAAAATATTTCATTAATTTACTATTACGAATCCTCCGACACTATACAAAGCGTAAAAGAAATTCATATTTCACAGACACCAGGTGCCGAATCATAAATCGAATGCCACAATTCAAACAGACCTGCGACATGCGAGGGTACTTTGGCATTGAATTCGTTACTGTAACGTCATGTTAGGTATTCAAAGAATTCAGAATATATTATGTTATACGATTTTTTATATAATAAGACTGACAATCGAGCACACAGGTCACCTGATGGTAATAGGATGCTGTAGCTTATAGGCATTTACTTCTATCCTCGATTAAAAATCAAAATGCAGATGCCTTGTCACCTCTGAGGACTGAGATGCAAAGCCTGATTCCAATAGAAAGGGTCTGCGGTTCTCTACACTTAACATTCAAAACTCAGCAACATTGGGCTGCTATTTTAAGTTAATAAAATCTTAATATATTACAGTTATAGAACATTATACACTTAGTTTTAAGTCCAATACCATTGTATTTCCAAGGGGACAGATATGAGATTCTTACTTTTTTAAGAAACATAAAACATCATATTATCTTATGCTGTCCATGATAATTTGACTAACCATCGCGATATTTAAGCTAAGGAAACTACTTCCATCTCTTCTTCGAATGAGATCCCGCATCCCTCATATATTGTGATGGTGACTCTCATATACGCTCGGGTTTTAGCCGGTGGGAGTCCGGCATAACTCTTCTGTTATCCCAGCAGCGAAGAAATCCATGAAGATTTCATCTAGGAAAAGGACAGCGTCATTTTGCTAAGCTTCGTGGTGGACTTGGATGACGGAACTTTGCCAATAGCATCTATAGAAACTGAAAATATTTTAAAAATTACTTTACTTTAATTAGTTGTCTCGCAGAAATCAGAGGAGCCCTGTGAACTGTAAGTGCAATATTGTAGGCTACAACTTTACTTTGTTATATTATTGTCTTTTTGGCTCTGGAAATCTTAATTTTTTCTTCTAGAATTTTTCTCCTACCTCATCCAAGGTGCACTATAATATGACGATGGCAAAAAAATCCAAACGTGCTAATATTTTTTTACATTTACTTATAACTTAAAACTCCTAATCTTATTTAATTTAAGATAAACATATAGCTATATAATATACAATATGTAACGTAATTAACGCACACCCTCAGATACCCCAATTAGTATATTATGTTATAATCATAAGACATACACTGAATCTTTAGTTAAACATTTTTATGCACTGATTGTTTATCAAATTAGTTGTACTAACTCCGGAAGAATTTTGTGGTCACAGTACAAATCCACGAATGCAAAGACTTTAACGTGTTTGAAATAAAGTTTATTTTTCTTTATTTTTATTGAATGACAGAATTAGTAATATAATTCAGAAGAATTAAGAATACAAATAAAACTGCACTCTTAAAAGTTTTATTGCCTTAAGTTACGGTCCATTTCAGTTTGTTTTGACTGTACAGATTTAGTGTGACTGTAATTTACGTGGTTTTAATTATTTTTGGGATAAAAAATTACCTATATTAAAAATTATAGGAATCGATTCAGTAAACGATTCTGAACAAACTACTTTCTCAAAGTGCGTTAATTATGTTACATGTTGTATAAAATTTAAACTAAAAAAAGTAAAAATGAATAAAAAAATAATCAGAAATTTATAAGTACTCAGTGAAACTATCTTTTATTATTACACATATTATCATAGTCAAGGTTAACCATTAGCTAACGGCGAATTAAATAACCTGACTTTTTTACTGATAATAAGGCATTCCATTTCAATTCGAAGTAGTAGTAGGAAGTAGAAACCGCTTCTCTACCATCAGGTGGACTGTGTGTACTTTTCACTCTTATTATATTTTTTTAAACAGACAAATACTAAAATTTAAGATACATCGCCAGATCAACTTATTCTATTAATTTTATGAAATTAATTACAGTTGCGATGTCGTTCCAGACGCACAGCGCATTATATTTCCGAGAGAAATTGTATTTGAATGTGGAAACGCAATTAACATCGTTATATTACATCCGCAATGAAAGCATATATTTATGTCTTCATAGCGGAGTCACGAAACTATTCAGCTTTGAAAACATTAACGCACTACATACAAACATAGCGACTCAGTCGAAATGATTTCTCGCATTTACGTGAATACTACACATAGAGAATCGTGGGTAGTTCAGGGCTAAGCGCTCGCTGTAAATTTCGCAGTACGAGAGCAAGCTGGACTAGTTCCCGCTGGCGCCAGTAAAATTAAACATGTTAAAAGTGAATTAGCTAATATCCGCGTTATGAAATAAATTGATGTCGAACCTATTTTAAAGAGCACCTTCCGATTTTCCTCAATTGCGTGCATTATCCCACCACCACTAATCGCGGTACCGCTACTCCCAATTCCACTATACTAGGAAAGACTCAACACCGTGTTTCGCCTCTAAACGGGGCATTCTCAGGTAAAGTAGATTCTGCAGTGATTAACCAACAAAATTGGCCGGTAAACTGTTAGGCCTCGTCCGCACAGCGAATATTCACCGCGCGATTTTTTTTTTTCGCAAACTTAACATATTCAATACAATAGCACTGGCGGTATAAAATTCGCGCGAAAAAAAAAATCCCCAAAAATCTGTGCTTTGATGCAAATTTTACGTGATGCGGTGCGGATTTATTTCCGCACGAATGTTTTGTGCGGTATGAAGTAGTATGACTATAGCCGCACTGCGAAATAAAATTCGCGGGTTTCGCTTGTCAGTCGTGCACTGACTACGCTGCTGACAAGATATCGCGCGCTTCATCTCCCGCCCGATCGGCAGGCGCGCAGGAGCTACCAGAAGATGACAACATTGATATAGAGCAATTAATCGCACTGATGCACAAGAGACCTGCTCTATGGGACACATTTGACCCAAAGTACCAAGACGGAATATTGAAAGCAAGATTGTGGGAGGAAATATATCAACAGATATATTTTACTTGGGAACAATATAGTGTTGGTGAAAGAAAGCAAAAAGGTAAATAAAGTAAAATAGTTTATTATTATAATAAGTTTACAAGTTGACAATAATTATTGTAGGTACGTATTTCCTGTTGGTCTATGTGTAGTTTATGTGGGACGGGTGTCGAATAAAACCAGGATTTCTTCAGATATCTTCAGTATTGTCAAAAATTATCTTTGCACATTCATTTAGAACACGTTTATAACAGATCCGCCATTGTTTAGAACCATAGAGTAGATACAGTTTATTTTTTATTTCTGGCTTGGTCTTTTTTAATTAGCCCACACCTATGGTCTAATCTTACAGTAAAGTATATGATTATTTATATTTTATCATACTGCTACGAAATTGACCCTTTCGATGAATCAAAATATTGAATTGTCTATTTTCAATGCTGGATATTCTAGATCTCACTGGAGTAGGACGTAAACTGTGCAACTTGGTTCCATGCAGTTTGTCTTCAAACCTAATTCCATCATGTTTCAGTACGTAATTATGTAAAATGCAACATGCTTTAATTATTTGGTCACAAGTTGTTAGTTTTACATCTAAAGCTCGATGTAAAATTCTCCATTTACTTGTAAGTATGCCAAATGTGCATTCTACAAATCTTCTTGCTAATGTGAGTCTGTAATTAAAAACTCTTTGAGTTATAGATAGGTTTCTTCTCGGGTATGGGCGCATTATGTATATATGAGAGAGCGAACGCTTCATCTTCAACAAAGACATAAGGCATTCTTTCCCCGTTTTCGTCTTTTGGCAGATGGCTTGGTGAAGGAAGCATTAACTGACCACCTTCAAGCTTCTTACCAAATGCAGAATTTTTGAAAACGGTAGAGTCACTGCTGCTACCGTAAACTCCTATGTCAACACTGATGAAATGATAATTGGCATCAGCTATCGCCATCAAAACTAAGGAATGATATTGCTTATATGTAATTATAAAATTCAGAACCCGCGCAGTTAGGCTTTTCGCACCTTATATGCTTTCCATCCACCGCTCCCAAGCAGTGTGAAAAATGGGCTCTTTTATAGAAAAGTTCATCAGTTTGGCACCAAGTTGTTTCATCTGGTTCTGGCGTATATAAAGGTTGTAAACATGACCATAATTTCTCGCACGTCTCTTCTATAATTTCGTCAATAAGATATTCGAAATATAGTGAATAGTAGCTATTTCCTGAAGCCAAATACCTGCAACAGGCATAAAAAAATATGTAACACCAATAATATAAAATGTAAATAGATAAATCATACCTACAAGGCAGTAAATTATTTAATAAAACAGTTTATGTTCATTTACAGGAGCTGACGTGCAAAAAAAAATGGAAAAATCTCAAGGATACATACTTCAAGGAGGTAGCAGCTGATAAAAGGGTGGTTCCGGGTCAAGCCAAAAAGGAAAAAGAAAAGACCTTACATACACATGAAAGCACTTTCATTTTTATGCACTCAAAAATCTCTGACAGATGCGAAAATTAATGTTACATACATAGAAAACAGTACAAGTAATGCCGAAGACCTTACTACTCAATCCGGCGAAGACACTGACTCAGAAGTTACACAAAATAAAAGACTGAAAGCGAGCATGCGTAAAAAGAGTAAAAATCTGAATAACAGCGATGATGAATTATTGAAACTATTGTAGGAGAAAAAATATGATGAAGATGTTTCATTCTGTGAAATGCTCATCCCGATGTTAAAAAATCTATCAATAGACCAGAAACACTATGCCAAAATTGAAATCCTGAATGCACTTAACAGAACAATAAAATATTAACCACCTACACAAAATGTTATGCCACCTAGATTTCGTCAGTCATCATCATCGCATTCATCATACAATCCGAACACGCATCACCGTATTCAAATACACAATCACCGTCCAAATACGCCATCACCTTATCCTATATATGCTAAATCTCCGCCTGATCAGTCTCCTCAAACTCAGTACACACCATCTCGTAATCCATCTATCAATCCTCAATCTCCGCCTGATCAGTCTCCTCAAACTCAGTACACACCATCTCGTAATCCATCTATCATTCCTCAATCTCCGCCTGATCAGTCTCCTCAAACTCAGTACACGCCATCTCGTAATCCATCTATCATTCCTCAATCTCCGCCTGATCCGTCTCCTCAAACTCAGTACACGCCATCTCGTAATACATCTATCATTCCTCAATCTCCGCCTGATCAGTCCCCTAAAACTCGGTACACACCATCACGTAATCCATCTATCATTCCTCAATCTCCGCCTGATCAGTCTCCTCAAACTCAGTACACACCATCTCGTAATCCATCTAACATTCCTCAATCTCAGCCTGATCCGTCTCCTCAAACTCAGTACACGCCATCTCGTAATCCATCTATCATTCCTCAATCTCCGCCTGATCAGTCTCCTCAAACTCAGTACACACCATCTCGTAATCCATCTATCATTCCTCAATCTCCGCCTGATCCGTCTCCTCAAACTCAGTACACGCCATCTCGTAATCCATCTATCATTCCTCAATCTCCGCCTGATCAGTCTCCTAAAACTCGGTACACACCATCACGTAATCCATCTATCATTCCTCAATCTCCGCCTGATCAGTCTCCTCAAACTCAGTACACACCATCTCGTAATCCATCTAACATTCCTCAATCTCAGCCTGATCCGTCTCCTCAAACTCAGTACACGCCATCTCGTAATCCATCTATCATTCCTCAATCTCCGCCTGATCCGTCTCCTCAAACTCAGTACACGCCATCTCGTAATCCATCTATCATTCCTCAATCTCCGCCTGATCAGTCTCCTCAAACTCAGTACACACCATCTCGTAATCCATCTAACATTCCTCAATCTCAGCCTGATCCGTCTCCTCAAACTCAGTACACGCCATCTCGTAATCCATCTATCATTCCTCAATCTCCGCCTGATCAGTCTCCTCAAACTCAGTACACACCATCTCGTAATCCATCTAACATTCCTCAATCTCAGCCTGATCTGTCTCCTCAAACTCAGTACACACCATCTCGTAATCCATCTATCATTCCTCAATCTCCGCCTGATCCGTCTCCTCAAACTCAGTACACACCATCTCGTAATCCATCTAACATTCCTCAATCTCAGCCTGATCCGTCTCCTCAAACTCAGTACACGCCATCTCGTAATCCATCTATCATTCCTCAATCTCCGCCTGATCAGTCTCCTCAAACTCAGTACACACCATCTCGTAATCCATCTAGCATTCCTCAATCTCAGCCTGATCCGTCTCCTCAAACTCTCCTCAAGACCAATACACACTGTCTCTCAGTTCAAATTTTCCAAATACTTCATTTAATCATCAAAACCATAGACTATATGCAATAGATAATAGTATCAAAGACAAAGATATGCTCTTTTATTTTAAACCATAACCTGGCAATGTTTCTTAGAAAGAAAAAGTAATCACTCTGAACTTTCGGCGTTCCACGTGTCGCATTCTCCGTCTTTTTTATAGAATTTTATATTAGTGTCTGAACTAAAAACGAAAGTATTATACTTTTTTATATTCCTTGTAATATAGTAAACACGTAGATATATAATGTGTGGCATAAAAAGTGTAAAGTAAGTGCCAAAAGTACTTCGAAATCTGGAAGGCCCATTTTGGCGGCTGGGTCAAAAATGTGGTATTTTTCCAATTCTAATTTATTTTTAGTGTAAAATGTAACTAAAAATAGTTTTCTAACGTATTTCAAAAATAACTTGACGTTGTATTTATTTCAAATTCACACAAAGATATTTTTGAAATATTGTTCGAAATATAAATATTATTATTTTTTTTTAATATTTTGGTATGAGTAACGAATAGAAACACATAAAACATAAACCTAAATTTCTCCAAAAACAAAAGTGTAGAATTCAAATTAGTAGTAATTTTGGCACTAAAAGTGAAGTATATACTACTACTATGCTATAAAGGGTAATTTATGAATTTTATTACAATTTTTAGCAACCAAAAATAATTTTATTCGATAGTTTATACATTCAACAAGAATTCCTGAACAGAAGTTAATTACTTTAATAAATGATTCTGTAAGATTAATCCTACTTTTTTATTTATCATTGTTTTTTGAATTGTAACAATACTTATTTAGTGCCAAATATTTCTAAACATTTTATGATAATCCATATAAGGTGCACTTTAAAAAGACCACGTTGTTTTATTTTAATACGATCGATTTTCATGAAATGTTTAGATACTCCTACTTGTGGTGCATACCTCTACCCAAATACGGAACAACTTACCTTATAGTTATCGACAGTCTCTCTTCAGCTGAAACTGATTTTCTCCAATTTGTATCTTGATAGGTAATAGCTGGACCAACTAGTCGTACTAAATTATCGAATGATGTTTAACTTATTCTATAATATCTTTTTTTTTTTATTTATTTATCAGATCAAACAAAAATTACATTCCAATATAGGCTTAATTAACATCTAAAAACCACAGAGGTTTACCTTGATGCTAAATAATTAAATTCAAGTAAGCGAATTATGTACAAAACAAAGTCTAATTCAATAGTTAGGTATATGAGTAGGTAGAAGGTGTAACAAGAATATAAGGACTAAAAAAGGTAAGTTAACAACTTAGTTAAAGTCAGAAGTAGCAAGGTAAAAGTAAAAGTAAGAGCTAGGCAGGTAGTATATTATTATTATTAAGTAGATATAGTATGTATTTATAATTTAGATAGGAAAAAGTTTTTGAGTTTAGTTTTAATGTTTTGTTGTGATACTTTTTCACGTACATCGAAAGGTAAGTTATTTATTAAATGCGGTACCTGATAAGCAGCCGTCCGTTGCCCGTACACATTATTAGCAGTGATATGCCGGAGTCGGTTTTGTGTCATACGCGCGTACGTACTAGATGTTCTATATATGATTTTAAACTGTCGCAAAAGAAATATTTTTTTTAATAACATGAATTTAATTTGGTCATAAACTGGTAAGATTTTACAATGTTCAAAAATCGCATTTTCATCATCACCAATTAGGATACGTATATTAGGGGATATAATATTTTTGAGAATACTAAGTTGAAGATCATAGATCTGTTTTAAATATGATTTGTACGTCCGACCATAGCTCGACAAGCCATACTGAATATAAGATTCAGCCAGGGAGTTGTAAAGCATAAGTCTTACTTTGAAGGGTATGCGATTTTTTAGGATTTTTATATTGGCTAGAAACTGACGCAACTTATTACACACTTGTTCAATGTGGTAGTTCCAGTTAAACTTTGAGTCAATTATAAGGCCAAGGTATTTTTGTGAGGTCACAACTTCGATTGTAGGGCATTGGCAAGTTCCTAGTTGATGGAGGCAGTCGTGATTATGAGCAATTAATGGTTTTGGAGTAGGATACCTCATATACGGAGATTTGATAATCATGAGTTTGGTTTTATTGGCATTTAACACTAGACCAACGTCATGGCACCATCGTATCATCATGTCTAAATCGGCCTGGAGAGCATTACACGCATTTGAGATATCCTTACCCGAAACGAGAAGACACGTATCATCTGCGAGTTGGTAACAGGAACTGTGTTTCAGACAGTTATTCATCTCGTTGACATAAGATAAAAAGTGCAACGGGCCAAGTACTGATCCTTGGGCCGTGCCTTCTGTCACATTCTTAGGGTCACTGAATGCGTTATTTAATTTAACCGTAAATGTACGATTTTGGAGGTAATTTCTACACCAATTAAGTAACGGACCCCGGATACCACAATCATCCAGTTTATGGACTAAAAGTTGATGTTGCAGCGTGTCGAAGGCACGAGAAAAATCAATAAACAAGGCCAGAACACATTTTTTAAGGTTCAAATGCTCGTTTACCTCATCTGTAAATTTACATAAAAGGTCCGTAGTACTTTTACCTGCTTGAAATCCGTACTGGTTTTTGTTTATTACTTCGTGCTTGCGGTAAAAATTATGAATCTGCTCACAGATAGCTTTTTCAACTATTTTATCAATATTAGAAAGCAGAGTGATTGGTCGATAGTTGGAGTAATCATCGTGTTTGCCCTTTTTGAAAACAGGTCTCACACAGCCTATTTTGAGGTCGTCGGGATATTCTCCAGACGCAATACTGCAGTTAATTAAATTGGCGATGGGTAAGGATATATGTTTATCAACCATTTTTAGATCAGCTACTCTAATACCGTCAGGTCCAGGAGCCTTATGTGAGTTCAGTCTCTTAATAATTTCGTTAACATTGATCTGAGAAACTTTTTTGAACAAAATACTTGAATCCACCGGTCTCTGATAAGTTAGTGGTTTGGTTAATTTTAAGCTGCATTGAGGAACAATGTCTTTAACTGCCTTTTCAAAGCTGTTTGCGAAGTTGTTAGCTATCGCTTTGGTGGTAAGGCCCTGTCCGTCAAAAGCCTTCAGTATCGCCTCGTCAATGGATATTGTTACTCGTCCTAACATCTGGTTAATGATTTTATAAACTTTTTTTGTATCTTTAAAGTTATTATGTATTTCATTAAGATAGTATGTATTTCGTTTTGATTCTATTAGTTTATTGAGTTTATTTCTAGTTTTATTATATTCTAGTCTTATTTTAGGATCAAAAGAGCTATTTTTCCAAAGCTTAAATAAGTAGTCCCTTTTTTCACATAATCGGGTAACATTACCATTGATCCAAGGGGCTATAGGCAGATTCCTACGATTTTTAGAATACCTAACAGACCTACTAATAGTCGCAGTCTTTATAGCTGTTAGGAACGATTTTTTTATAAATGAAAGTATATCATTTGACGAACTCATGTTATTTGTCTGTTTCCAATCTGTAATACTCACCGCATTACTAAAAATGGTACGATCAAAAGTAGTTTTTTGTGTTACATTCTGCACGCATCTTGTAGGTGGTGAGTCTTCAAGACACGTAAACACTATGCCCCGATGGTCAGCCAATGCAACGTCCAACACAGCTGAGTACGGATCTGATGTGGGGAACCTCGCAAATATGTGATCAATGCAAGATTTAGTGACTTTATTTTTTCTTGTTGCAATTCTAGTATAGTTTGAGATTCCGCACATTAATCCGCGCTCGCTGAGTGTTTGCAAATAAGTGTCCCTGTAAGATGAAATGGTTTTAGGTCAATGTTGGAATCGCCGATTAATAAGAGGTTTTTATTAGTGTCGTAGTTTGAGATATACCTGCCAAGCTCCTTTACAAACAAATCCTTGTTTCTTTTTGGAGGTTTATAAATTGCACATACAACTACATCTACGGTCGGGGTCAGTTTTAAGGTACCCGTTATGTTTTCGAACATGATACTTTTATGTGGTGTTAGTGTAAACTTGTTAAACTCTGAAAAACTGTTTGCTGTATTTTCGTAGCTCTTGATATTTTATGTAGAAAAATCCTTTCAGTGGTCTCAAAGCCGGCTTCTTTTGATACGTCATTTACGTCGCCGCCGTAGTATTAAGTAAATCAAAATTGTTCTGTTATCCATTTTAGACTTTCGTTTTGAACGGAACGCACGAACTGACTGATATCGTGCGGAATTTTATTCGCAGTGCGTAATAGGTGTAATTTTGATCACGGAATAAAAATCGCGAGAATAAATTCGCGCGGTGTATATTCGCTGTGAGGACGAGACCTTAGTTGCAATTTTATGTACTGATTTACTAGGTTCTCGTTGGTGAAATGAATGAAAAGAAAAATTTGCATAAAACAAATTATAGGGATTTCATCGCATTATCGTAATTTTATCTTTTTTATAGCCGCTGTCACCACTTCTTCGCAGCATTCTCTTACATATATAAGCATAGCGTGGTTCTGTATACTACGGTTCGCTTTTCCTACCGGACAAAAAAGAAAGGAAAAAAAAGACGTCAGAAAAACGAAATTTTAATTTCTTACGTCAAAGAATTACTCGTATATATGTTGTACAACTCAAGCGCGAAGTATGGGAGGTTGGGCTTTACCGTCGGTTTGCAAGGTCACGTGACTCGTTTGATTAAAGTCTACTATTTTTTAAATCGGTCTAATGCGTGAAGTAAAGTCAAGTAAAACACATGAATTTATATTAAGAGAAAACATTAATGAATAAAACTGATGTCTATTTAAATTTGGCAATATGTATTATAATAAAAATTCCAGATTCCATTAGATAAGTATTTCATTTTAACTTCAATACAAAAACACGATAAACCATATTAACGAAAGTTAGGAATTTATGCCTGATTTTAACATACGATTATTGATGATTCTATTTTATTATCCCTTCACATAAATTTAATTTGAAACACAAATTGAATTTTACCTAATTGTTACAATGACGCTTTCTCAATGAGCGAGCGATAAGTTGTTTAGCG